CTACCTAGGAGTTGGAGCCCCTAGGAAAGCAGCATTAGTAAAAACAGTAAAGCTAAGCTAAAGCTAAGGTAGCGCTAAGCTAAAGCTCAGCTAAATCTAAGCTAAAGTTAAGCTAAAGCTAAGCTAAATATAAGCTAAGGCCAAGCTAAAGCTAAGCTAAATATAAGCTAAGGCCAAGCTAAAGCTAAGCTAACGCTAAGCTAAAGCCAAGCTAAAACTAAGCTACAGCTAAGGTAACGCTAAGCTAAAGCTAAGCTAAAGCTAAGCTAAAGCTAAGCTAAAGCTAAGCTGAAGCTAAGCTAAAGCTAAGCTGAAGCTAAGCTAAAGCTAAGCTAAAGCTAAGCGAAAGCAAAGCTAAATATAAACTAAGCTAATATGAGATAAGCTAAGGTACGCTAAACTAAGCTACAGCTAAGCGAAGCTAAGATGAAGCTAAGCTACGCTAAACTAAGCTAAGATGAGATAAGCAACGCTAAGCTAAGGGGACGTACCTGGGGGAACCGCGGGGCGGGGACTGGGGGAACCGCCAGGGGCGTTTTCCACTGCCCGCCCCTTTAAGCAAACTAAGTAAGAACCCTCTAGGCAGAGCCTAGGTAGGGAATGAGTGTTCAACCAAACCAAGACAGACAGACGTTTGGCCTGGGGGTTCTTCGGAGCTCCCAGGCGCCCACGGGGTCCCACGCGCGGCGGAGGCGGACGAGGAGGAGGCAGGAAGAGGAGAGAACGAGGGGGAGGAAAGGACGGGGCGACCACAGTGCTCCATTCCAGAACGAGGATCCAACCAAGGGAAGGTTGGGAATCAGCAGCAAAACAAGCGGTGACTTCAAGGCGCGCTTCCACTGCAAAGCCCCCCCTCGCCGTGTCTCCTCCTCCTACTCCTCCTCTGGCCCCTCCTCCATGTTTACGTTGGCCTGACATTGAGCATCGAAGCTCCTTGCGTCTGTCCCCGTCTTCCCCTTCCCCCTCCTCTCAACTAGTTTGCGTTATACTGACATTGAGCACCGAGTCCGTCTCATCCTCCTCCACCTGATCTCCCTCCCTCCTACTCATCCGCCTCCTCCTCCTCCTCATCATCATCATCGTCATTCCTCTCCCCCTTCTCCTCTTGTCCTCATCCTCCCCCCCTTGAGGGTAGCAGAGGGTACCGACTCCACCTTCACCCACTCGAATTGATCCCAGACTCTTCGAGATGAGCACACAGGACTCTGAGGTGCTTGGCGCAATCCTCCCCCTTCTCATTAGCACTCTTCTTCTTCATCACCAGCATCATCATCAGCATCAGCCTCAGCATCATACTCATCGTCAACATCATTACCATCATCCTCATCACCATCAGCATCCCCTCTTCTCGGCCCCCTCACGCTACTCCTCCTTCTCCTCCTATTCCGTTCTGTCCCTTGTCCTCCTCCACTGCCCCTCCTCTTCCTCCCTCTCCCACTCCCCCTCCCACTAGTCCTTAGTCGTCTTTATCCTCCTCCTCCTCCTCCTCTTCCTCCTCCTCGTCCTCCGCCTCCTGTTCCTCCTCCTCCTCCTTCTCCTCCTCCTCCTTCTCTATCGCCTCCGCATCCTCTTCCTCCGTCTGATCCGCTCCCTCCTCCTCCGCCTCCACTCCCATCGCTTCCGCATCCTCTTCCTCTCTCTCCTCCGCCTCCCCACCGTCCTCCTCCCCCTTTTCCTTCCTCCTCTACCTCCCCCTCCCTCTTCCTCCTCCTCGTCCTGCCTCGTCCTACCCCTCCTCCTCCTCCTCCTCCTCCTCCTCCTCCTCCTCCTCCTCCTCCTCCTGCTCCTCTTCGTCATCCTCCACCCTCTACACCCGGTTTGACAGCCCAGCGGACGTCCGTCGCTCGCTGCGAGATGGCTACCGGGTACCAGGCTCACCAGCCCTGTTTGGCAAGTGCCCTGGGAGGTCCGCTGCAACAGATTCGGACCTCTGAATCTCGGGACTGGGATGCGCCGCTCCGTCGGCCACGCGCAAGCGTGACCCTCGACGGGAGTGACCGTTGGTGCCCAGATTGCCGATCGTGGCATGTCCCCCCACCCCGCGGCCTACCGAATGCCGCGCACCAGGGGTCACCCTGGCGAAGGGTCACTCTTGCGTGCTTGCGTGCACCCAGCAGATGAGATCTGGAACACATCATGGGCGTCGTCGCCTGGTTTTGAAGTCATGCTCCCACGGACCACGGATCCGAGGGTCGTGGGCCCCTCTGAGGAATGCGACAGATAAAAACGAGGCCGAGGGGCCTGAAATCCCAGGATGCAGCATTTGTTTCGCGACGTCGGAGCTCAGAAACTCCAGATTGAGCCAAGGCGCGGCAAAGAGACAAGGCAGAGGGCGGCGGTGGCCTGGACGAGGTTCAGTAGCAGCCGCGGGCAATCATGTCGCACCTGAGACAAACCCTCCCATTCAAATATGTCTTGCGTCGTTGGCCAACTCATGAAGTCTGCCTGGCTGCACACGTGATAATGCACAAGCGCCCAAAGAGGGGACCACAATCAAGCTTTGTTTCTCGTTGATTGCTTGAACTTTGTAGGGGCCACCCTCGGCCTGCGCGCGTAAGGCGGGCGCGTGGGGTCGGCCGCTGGGTGTGTCATCACAGATACTACGTGTTAGCGACTTTGGACATGCCTAGGCAGGCTTAGAGTTGTCAGTTTGGGTCTCGTCGTTTAGGACGAGTTTAGACAGGCGGCGTTTTCGAGCGTGTCCAAGAGAAACCAACGTAGAGTCCATGAGTGGTCATCGCCAACTGCCAACGCTGATCTGGATGGCAAGAACACCCAAAATCGAATCGATGAGTCGGATCGGCAATCGATAGAACCGGATCGGCGGAAATCGGCAGCCGAGTCGGGAGAAGTCGAATCGGCGGACTTCGACAGGCTATAGTAGGCCTCCAGTAAGACATCGGAATCCAGATCGGAACCCGAAAGCCGAATCGAATCGGAATCGGCAGCCATCGAAATCGAATCGAATCGAACCAACATCGGAAGAATCGAAACGAGCCCAGTGTGCGACTGCAGGAAGCGCCCACCACGCCGGCCCTCAAAACTGATGCCTCCACACGACGCGCCGGCGCTGCGAAAGGGGCGCGCGAGGGGAACCTGCGAAGAGGATGGACCTGCGAAAGCGGAGAGGCAGGAGAGAAATCCACCGGGATCTGGCCATCGCTCGGACGTCCCTTCCCTGCGCTTCTGTTCGGTTTCGTGCGTGATTTTTTTCGCAGGATGATCCACGATGCTCTTTCATAATCCCCGCCGAGAAAATGCACACGTCCGAGCGATACCAAAGGATAGAGTTGGGTCGGCCATCCCGGTGTCCCTGTTTGTTCTTGTGCTCCCGGATCTTCGGGCTTCTATGGCTTGCCCGGGTTGTCTCGCTTCCTCCGTTCTTCGGGTGCTGTTCTGGCCTCCCGGGTTTGACCGGTCTTCCTGGTGTTTCGGGCTTCCTCGATTTTCTGGGTGCTCAGGTTTCCCACATTTCAAAAAGTTTCAAATGTGTTGTTTGTTTGTCTAAGTTTGCTTGGTTTTCGTGGTTTCCCCGGTTTCCTGGTTTTCGCGGTTTTCCCGGATTGTCACATGTTTGATGTTTTTGTTGTTTTTTTGGTTTCTCTGGTCTTTCGGGTCCTCCCAGTCTTCTCAGATCATTTTGCCCAATTAACTTTTCTTGGCTTTTCCTTGTTTGTCCGTTTTACTGGTTTCTCAAAAAGTTCCCTAGCTTCTCAACCTTACACCAAGTGCTCGGTTTCCCACATTTCGCTGGTTTGTCTGATTTCCCCGATTTTCCCTGGATTTGTTGGTCCCCGTTGTATCGGCCACCAGCATAAAATCGGTCAGGAGCGGGAGATAAAGCCAAATCCATTCCAAATCGGTCCCCGCCGGCTCTGACTGCAACAGGATGTCTGATGTCCTCGAAGCAGTAAAGAAGGAAAACACTATAGTTGAAAGAAGGCGCCGACAAGCGCATACTTGTTGAGAGGATGCAGAACGTGCAATCACTTGTTGTCGCTGATGCACAAGATGCAATCAAATTATTGTTGCTGCTGTCGGCCGGAACCGGCGGCTGCAAGCCACGCGGCGTGCCACGGCCGGAAGACCGCCAGTTTGTAGTTGAGCACCCGGTACGCCAAAGTGCAGAGTTGAGGGCGGTGGTGGTCGTGCCAACCATGCAGCATGAAAGCGCTCCGTTCGGCCTGAGAGAGGTCGGCCGGGAGTGGTAGAGGTAAATGGAGCCCGTGCGCTCGACGAAGCGGCTCCGTGGTCGGACATTCGTGCATCATGTGGTGGGTGTTGTTGTCCACCTGGCAGGTGGGGCAAATCGGTGCCCGGACTCCTCCTGGGGTCCGTCTGGAGATTTTCACCCCAAACCTGTTTCGCACGGTCCCGGGGCCCGAAAAAAAAGGGCCCCGGCGGCCGAACACGACACGAAGCATTCCGGGCCTCGGACCTCGCCCCCTGCATCCTGCTGGCTGGAGCCAGGCCTGGGCCACCTTAGACCCTCAAGCCCCGGAGACTTCCGAGCCTTCGGAGATGGCCCGCCCCTTCTCACTCCCCCACCTGATCGCCTCCGAGAGGAAAGAACTGCACAATCACAGCTTCAGAAAAAGAAATCACGCCAAAACCATAAACTTATGTGGCGCTCCACGCGGATCTCATGGATCCGCGCTGGACCCCCATCCCTGGCGCGCGGAGCGCGACAGGGGCGGCGCCAGAGGCGCCGTTAGGGGGGCCCAGGCGCGGATCCAAGAGATCTACGCGGAGCGCCAAACATACATGTTTAATTTGTTTGCGTATGTATGTATGTATGTATGTATGTATGTATGTATGTATGTATGTATGTATGTGTGTGTGTGTATGTATGTATGTATGTATGTATGTATGTATGTATGTATGTATGTATGTATGTATGTATGTATGTGTGTGTATATATATATATAATACACCTGGTGTTTTTGTCGGCTTCGGGGAAAGAACTGGCGCAATCTCAGCTTCAAAGCTCTTTGGCTTCATCACTCCCCCCTCCCACGGGGACGCGCCCTGTGGATCAGGGAGGCGAGCGGCTCCACGGACAGCGAGGTGCCCATCACGATGAGCAGCTCGGCCTCTCCCGCGGTGCGGGGCCCGGCTCCCTGGAGGAAACCCCGCCTCGCCATCGCTTGGACTCCCCCGTAAGATGATCCAACGTACTGGGGGACAACACAAGGTATTGGACCGCTACTCCAGAAGCCGAAAAATCGGCATACGCATAAACTGTTGGCGCTCCGCACGGACTCCTTGGATCTGCGCTGGACCCCGGGGCGGCGCCGGAGGCGCCGCCGGGGGGGGGGCGTGCGCGGATCCAAAACATCCGCGCGGAGCGCCAAACATGTTATGTTTGTTTTGGTTCTTCTTCGAAACTCCGCGGACCTCTGCTGGAGTGCGTTCTGATCAGGATCCCGAGGCGAATCAAGCGGTGGCGACGAGGGCCGCCCTGGAAGCCCGCAGAGGGGAGCACGAGGGCAGGGTACAGAGATGTGGGTACCTTTCCTTCCTCGGAGCTTGTTTCTGTGTCGTGAGATGATTCCAGTCTGCTTCTCGATGGTCCTCGCCACGAGAAAGTGCAGGAGAGCCCGAAATCAAATCGTCAGGTCGGATCGGCGATCGACACGAATCGGATCGGCGAACATCGGCAGCCGAGTCCGGCGAATTTGAATCGGCGGACGTCGGCAGGCTACTATGCCTCTGGCAAGGAAAGGAGTCGGAGTCCAGATCGGACTCCGAAGTCGAATCTAGAGGAACGACAAATTAGATAAACATCAGAACTCGGAGGTCCGTGCGGATGTCTTGGATCCGCGCTGGACCCCCTTCCCTGGCGCGCGGAGCGCGCCGGGGGCGGCACCGGAGGCGCCGCCAGGGGGTCCCAGCGCCGATCCGATGAATCCGCGCGAACCTCTGAGTTTTTATGTTTATGTCATGCTTCATTCCCCTAGAATCGGATTGGAATCGGAAGCCATCGAAATCGAATAGAACCAGAGGAATGATCGTCATGGTGATGACTACGATGACGATGACGATGACGATGATGATGATGACGATGATGACGATGACAACGATGACGATGAAGATGATGATGATGATGATGACGATGACGATGACGACGACGATGATGGTGATGATGATGATGATGATGATGATGATGATGATGATGATGATGATGATGATGATGATGATGGCGATGATGATGACGATGACGATGACAATGATGATGATGCTGCTGCTGATGCTGATGCTGCTGCTGCTGCTGCTGATGATGATGATGATGATGATCATCATGATGGTCATGGTGATCAGAATGAGATGAGGAGGATGAGGAGGATGAGGAGGAGGAGGAATCGAAGCGAGCCCCGAACAAGCACACGCCCGAGCAGTGCCAAGAGCCGGGGGCAACGCTCACCCCCTCCCTGAGGCGCCGGGGCTCGGCCCGCTCTCTCCTCCTGCTGCTGCCTCTCTCGCTGCCGCTGCCGCTCCTCCCCCCGCTCCTCTGCACAGCAGCGGAGGTAGCCCAGGGAGACGACGTTGAGGGGGGGAGGGGGTCCTCCTCCTTCCTTCCTCCTCGCCTCCTCCTCCTCCTCCTCCTCCTCCTCCTCCTCCTCCTCCTGCTCCTCACCCTCCTTCTCTTCCTTCTTCTCTCCACCTCCTTCCCTTCTCCTCTAACTTATGGTAGTGGTAGTGGAAAACAGGCCCCATCAGCAGATAGACAGGCAAAAGTTCCAGGATTCCCCAGAGGAACGACGATCAAAAACGGGTCTTGCGGGAGACGACGTAGCGACCTTCTGACGTAACTTCTGCAGAGGGAAACACGAGGGCAGAACAGAGGTATGGGTACCTTTCCTCCCTCGGAGCTGAAGTGTTGTTTCGTGGGATGCTTCCACTCTGCTCCTCGATGGCCCTCGCCAAGAGAAGGTGCACACGTCCGAGCGGTGCCAAGAGCCGGGGGCAACGCTCACCCCCTCCCCGGGGCGCCGGGGCTCGACCCGCTCCCTCCTCCTGCCGCTGCCTCTCTCGCTGCCGCTGCCGCTCCTCCCCCCGCTCCTCCCAGGAGGGCCCAGAATCGAATCGATCCAGTCTGCCTTGATTGGACAGGACACCGCTCGAGGCATCCATATCGATATGGGCCTCATCGGGGTGCTGAAGCCGGCTCCTAGCCCGAGGCATCCCTGCACTCTGTACAGTCGGACTTCATTGGACAGGACACGCGAGAGGACACAAGACCCTTCCGAGGGCCACGCCGCCATAGGAGTGTAGGGAGGCACGTGTCGCGAGGCACAGGACACAAGGGTGCCCTTGAGCTGGCAAGGTCGACCTACTAATCCGGGCCGACTGTAAGTCGCATCGGCGATCAAAATGAATCGGAGCGGCGGTTCGAAATCGGCCGCCGAGTCGGGAAAAGTCGAATCGGCAGGCATCGGCAGGCTTGTAGGCCTCAAATGAGCAATCGGATCCCGAATCGGAATCCGAAATCGGATCGAATCGAAATCGGAATCCATAAAAAAACGATTCGAGTCGAATCGGCGGCATCGAAATGAACCCATTTTCGGCCCTGGGGGCCCTGACCGGGCTTCGGGACCGTCAAAAACGACTCAGGATGACAAACTGGTCCTAGGAAATAGGTCGAAACCTCTGGGGGTCGACGTAATGAAAAAATCATGACGTCGGGGATCTGAGTATGGGCGACGATCAAAAGCGGGTCTTACGCGAGATGACGTAGCGACCTTACGCGGCGGCTCACGCGGGCCGCCAGCGCGGCACGCCACATCTAAAGCGAGGGCGCTCACGCGCGACCTTGCGCGGGCAGCGTGCACGCCCATGTCGGCGCAGACGACCCCGTTTTTGTTTTGCGTTGCTCGTGTTGGAGTCGTCGTCGTTATCGGTGCTGTGCACTTGTGTGCCTCCACCAGCATCCCGCGCTAGGTCCGCGTGCCGACCGGGGCGGTCGGTCCCCACGGAAACCATGCTGGGCGCAGGCCGGCAGCATCTGCCGGCAGCGTGCGACGCGCCAGCGGCACCCCAGGCCGCCCAGATGGGGCCAGGGCAGGTAGGGACGAAGAGCCGACCCGCGTCGCTGATGCATCCATCGGCCACACTCGGCGGCGAGCGGGGGGGGGCAGGGAGAAGGAGAGGGCCTCCCCAGGAGGTGCCGGGACTTCTCAAAAGCCCTCCCTTAACGAAAGGAGCCCAGGAAGACACAGACAAAATGGCACACATTCAAAGATTCCTTGTACTTTGCCGTCGCTCGGACGTCCACTTCCCGTGCACTTTGGGTTTCGTGTGTGTGCGTGTGTGTGTTATTTTGCTCGATGGTCCAGGATGCTCTTTGATGCTGCACGCCGAGAAAAATGCACACGACAGAGCGATGCCAAAACAATTTGTGTTTCACGAATGTTCGTCTTGTCTTCCACTCCCCATGTTTGTGTTTCCCACACCTGCCTGGGCATCGACGTCGGTGTGTGTCTGTGCCCAGTTTCGAGCGAGGGGGGGAAGAGAGAAGGCGAAGGCCTTCTCAGAAGCGGCAGGACTTCTCAAAAACCCTCGCGCCTTCTAAGGAGATTCCGGTGCCCTGCGGGAAACAACTCAGAAAATTCTGGGAAGGCCAGGGGGCTTCCGGGCCTTCCGAGAACGAAGGCCTTCTCCTTCTCACTTCCCCCCCGGGCTCGCCGCCGACCCAAACGGGTATGTCATGGATGTTCGTCGTGCCCTCCACTCCCCGTGGTTTCTCTCGCACCCTCCTGGGCATCGACGTCGGTGTGTGTCGGTGCCCACGTCTCCCTGCCAACTCCCTGCGCTGGTTGAGGGACTGGAGAAGCCTTCCAGACCTGCGTGCGAGATTCCATGCTACGTCCACTGCGTCGTGGACTCTCTCGGAAGGGGCGCCCAAAGGCCGAGGCGCAGTGGATGTGGGTAGCAATCTAACACCTGGGAGCCAAATGTTTATCCACATCCACTGCTCATCGGGTTTCTGGGGAAAAGAGGCCGAAACTCCAAGACGCAGTGGACACGGAAACAATTCTTGCCCCATATGCCCCCCCTCCCTGCGATAGCTGGCGGATTGGAGGCTTCTCAGATGGGGTCCGCAAAGATGGTGCTGGAGTATCGCGCCGCAACGCCGATCCATCGCCGATGCATCGACGATGCATCGACGATGCACTGGCGACGCCGGCGATGAGTCGGCGAAGCCCGCGTGGAGAAATTGGGGCTCCACATCGAGTCGCATCGCCGATGCATCGGCGCTAGATTCTCCGACCCCATCCGATGATCCTCAAAATGTGTTCGCGCCCGCCGACGCATGCCCGTCCACCGAAGCCCCTCCATACGACGAAGGGACGAAGGCAGCGTAATCAGGGCCGACACACGCTGCGTGCCACCCGTGGACCTGAACCGGGTAGCACGCACACTGAGGCAACACGCGCAAAGCCCTGTCTCTTTCAGGGGGGCGTAGTGACCGAAATGGTCCACGAACATCTACCCGAGAGTAACCAAAACCGGCGCCCGACATTTGAGACCGCGCCCGAGGGTGGCTGAACTGGCTGGTTCGAAAGCAACTATAGGTTCGGTTCGGCTCACAACATCGTTCGGTCCAACTGCGTTCTCGCTTACAATTTCGGGCACCTTCTCGGCCTCATATGCGTTGGGTCACGCGCCTTCATGGCCGATAGGGGCTGGGCGCCAGGATGACACACGTACTGAGGACCACCAACCCATCAACTCGGATCCCACCTCGAAGGCCGAGAGGAGAGGCCCCAAGGAATGCGTCCCGCTCGGCCGCCGAAATGGCCCCCTCCTGCGCCGGCCCAGCGGCAGAGCGGACCTGGGACGCAGAGCTGGCACACGGGAGGATGGAGGATCGATGGACCGAAGGATCGAAACGTCGAGGATCGAAGATCGCAGATCGAGGATGGAAGATCCGATATCGAAGACGGGAAAATCGAAGATTGCCCGGACGTCCCGGCTCCTTCCGAGCGTGCTCGACCCACAACGTGGGGCCAAGCTATCGCCCCGAGTCGCTTTCGCTGCCGGTCCCAGGGCCTGGCGAGGGCCCCAGACCCTGAGCATTGGATACCGGATGCTCCTGGCCGCGAACGACGAGACGGTTGCGGTTGCTACCGATTCTACTTCAGATTCTGGTGCTGGTCGCGACACAATTGCTCTAGAATCGGCCGCAAACAATCGGTCGCGACTGATTTTGGAATCGGTCGCGATCGGTCGCGACCGATTTGGAGTGCCGATCGGTCGCTACCGATCGCGACCGACAAAACCTAGCATCCAGCGATCTGGGGGGGCCGACTATAGCAACAGAACTGTGCGTCGTATTTTCACGACGCACGAGTGGTCTGGGTCCGGGGCGCTCTTGGGAGCCCGTGTGCAAACCCTTTGAGGCCCCCCCCAGGTCATCAATATCTGTCTTGATCCTCCTTGCTGCTTCCCCTCCTTGCCACCCCACCCCGCTCTGCCTTTCCATGCATATTAATGTCATGAGGCTTCCGTTCATATTGTTATTGCTCTGCGCCGCTGAGCTCGCAACGTCCTTAACTCGGCGGCGGCCTGGGAGTCTGACCTGGTGGGCCCCTTGGAAAATCGATCAGGGGGGGGGGGTGAAGACGAATTCGCTCAAATCGGTCCCAGCACCCTTCCTGGGGTCCATTCGGTGTTGTTTGTCACCCAGGATCCCTTTTGATCATGGTCCTGGGGCCCGAAAGCGGCCCCCGCGGCCCCCGCAGGCGTGGGGCTCCCCTCATGTGCATGTATTTGCATGGACCTTCCCGCCGTTAGTGTCTGGGCCCAAGAACTTTCGAATATAAACGGGCTTGGGTATTGACAAACTGGGGGCGAGTCTAACCGTGAATGGCTCTGGAGTGTGCGTGAATCTCGGTAGTGCGTGCGAGTCGATGCGCATGGGTCTGAATCTGTCTAAGCTTAGGATGGGTGCATCTGCGCGTCAGTGGCCTGATCATGTAGGGGTGCTCATGCAAACGCCGTGCGAAACCCTTGCGCTTCGTTGGTTGGTCGAGAAATTCTCACGCAGAGGCTGGACCGTGATACAACCAGCCACGCCACGGAGACGAGAGACCCGGTCTATAGGAACATGCGTGAAACACTTAGAATTGAAGCCACAAGAATGGGGCAAACTATACGAAAATACGTAACACACCAAGGATGTGTACCCTAAGAGAGGCCCGATATATAGGAACATCGGGAGAGCACAACAAGACTAAGGCCACAGAAGGGCAAACCATCGTGCCCCAGGAGAAGCCCAATCCATAGGAACATGCGTAAAACATCCAGGATTGGAGCCAATCCTGTGGCCTCCTTGAACTCCCTGGCTTGGAGCCTCCTGGGGCCTCCTGGGGCCTCTTGAGGCCTCCTGGGGCGTCCTGGAACCTCTTGGGGCCCCCTGGTGCCTCCTGGCGCCTGCTAGTGCCTCCTCTTGCCTCCTAGTGCCTCCTGACACCTCCCGGAGCCTCCTGGGGCCTTCCAGGGAGGATTCGTGCCCCAGGAAAGGCCCTATATATACACATACACACATACATATATACATATATATATATATATATATATATATACACGTGTATATATATATATATATATAGATATAGGAACATGTGCGGACACTTGGAACTGGAGCCACAGGACAAGGGCAAAGTATAGGAGCATATGTAAAACACAGCGGTTTCGCGCACCAGGAGGGGCCCATTCTACAGGAACGCGTTTAGAACACGAGGGATTGGAGCAACAGGGGCAATCTATAGGAACATGGATAGAATGTATAGGATTCAATTTGAACGCAGACGAGCCTGGCTACTAACACAAGCACGCCGCTCCAGACATCCGCAATCTGGGCCCCCTGGTGTACGAGAGCTTGCGCCTCGCCCAAGCGTCCCCAAAATCTGCTCCGAACGCAGCAGATGTTGGGTTGGTAAACAGGCAAACCGCCCGAGACATTCCTGCAAACCGCTCGAGGTATTCCTGCCCGCGAACGGATGAATGAGGTACACCCTGGCGACCCCTCCATTTGGGGATGCTGAAACCATCGCGTCACTGGAGACATCCCCCAAATCTGCTTTGAACGCAGACGAGTCTGGTCGTCAGAACAAGCAAACCGCTCGACAAGGTCTCGCAATCTGGGCCCCCTGGAGTGCGACAACCAGCGCCTCGCTAGGGACATCTTTAAAAATCTGATCCGAAAGCAAAGGCTGTTGGGCATGCAAGCGGGCAAACCGCTTGAGATATTCCCGCAATCTGGGCGCGAACGGACCCGTGCAATACCCCCTGGCGCCCCGCACTGGGTGTACGAAAACCAGCGCCTCGCACGGGACATTCTCAAAATCGGCTCCGAAAGCATAAAATGTTCAGCATGCAAAGGACCAAACCGCTCGAGACATTCCCGCAATCTGGGCCGGAACGGGCCCGTGCGATACCCCCTGGCGCTCCCACTTGGGTGTACGAAAACTACGGCCTCGCTGGAGACATCGTCGAAATCTGTTTCGGCATCGTTATCATCATCGTCATCATCATTATCATCAACACAACATCACCACCAACACATCCCCATCACCATCACCATCACCATCACCATCACGATCATCATCAACAGCATCATCATCAGCATCATCAGCATCGTCAACATCATCACCCTCAACATCATCCTCATCATCGTCATCATCATCATCCTCATCATCATCAGCGTCATCCGCGTCATCAGCATCATCATTCCCGTCGTCGTCATCATCCTCCTCCACATGATCCGCCTCCTCGTCACTATAACCAAATCATCATCATCAATATCAGCATCATGATCATCATCAACACCACCAACACCTCACAATCACCATCACCATCACCATCACCATCATCATCATCATCATCATCATCATCATCATCATCATGATTAGCATCATAATCGTCAACACCATCATCACCGTCAACATCATCATCATAATCATCATCACATTCATTGTCATCATTGTCGTCGTAGTCATAATCCTCCTCCTGCTTTCCGCAGCCTGTTCCTCCGTATCATCAAAACCATAAACATGATCAGCATCACCCCCATCATCATCACCATCGTCATCATCGCAATCATCCTCATCAGCAGCATCGTCATGATCATCAGCATCACCATCATTATCATCATCACTATCATCATCAACATCATCCTCATCATCATTATCAGCATCATCTGAATCATAACCAGAATCAGCATCAGCACCATCATTTACCATCTTCAGCATCGTCAACATCATCATCGTCATCATCATCCTCATCATCAATATCGTTGTCTTCATCATCATCCTCCTCCGCCTCCTCCTCCATCTGCTCATCATATAATCATAACCATGGGCAGCATCATCATCATCAGCATCATCAGCGTCAGCATCATCATCAGCATCATCAGCATCATCATCATCATCATCATCATCATCATCACATTCATCATCGTCATCATCATCATCATCATCGCCATCATCGCAATCATCGTCATCATCCTCATCAGCAGCATCGTCATCATCATCGTAATCAGCATCATCACCATCACAATCATAATCAACATAATATGCCTCAACATCAACATCATCATCATCACCATCAACATCATCATCATCATCATCATCATCATCATCATCATCATCATCATCATCATCATCATCATCATCATCATCTCCGTCATCACCAGTATCGCCATCATCGTCAGAATCATCACAAGCATCCTCATATCAAGACCTGGGTAGTGACCCTTAGTGTGATTCTGAGTGACACTGAGTAGTGAGGAGGAGGAGGCGGAGGCGGAGGAGGAGGAGGAGGAGGAGGAGGATGTGGGTGTGAGTCGTCGGCGCGGTTCCCCAAGCCCAGAACCTCGAACCTGTCAGTCGTTCCTGCTGGCCGGAGCCAGTGCTGGGCCGCCTCAGAACCCCAGACGGCTCCAACCCTCACAAAATTCTGGGAGAAATCAAAAAGTACCGATCACGCTACACCCCGGACCTCTCAGGTTTCTGACCAGAATGTCGAGGCGACTCCAGCGGTCGCGACGGGTGCCTCCCAGGAGGCCCAAAAAGGGGAAAGCCTGCGAAGGGTAGAGGTACCCTGTCCTCCCCAAGATCTCTGGCCAATCTGTTTTTTACAACGCGAGGGGCCCTGGGCCTGCCGATGCAGTCCACCCCGCAGCGCCACGGACCCCCAAAGGCCCCCGCGGCGGAGGCCTCGGGGAAGTCGCCCAGGCTGAGCTCGTGGAAGCGGTCGGGCAGGTCCTCGCCTCGGCTCTGCGCGCGGGGGCCCGCTCGTCTTCGGCTCCTCAGGCTCGGCTCGGGGGGTCCTCGGAGGACGCCCCGAGAGCCGAGGAGGAGGAGGAGGAGGATCGGGGAGACGCAAGACCCGAGTTTGGGTGGGTTCGAGTGGGCCTGAAGAGGCAGTCAGAAAATCTGCTCCTCGGGCTCCGCTCGGGGGACCATCGGAGGACGCCCCAGATCAGGGAAGGAGGAGGAGGGTCGGGGAGACACAAGACTCGAGTTTTGTGGGCGCTCGAGTTGGCCTGACAGGTCCGTAGCTCGGGAGGCCGTCGGAGAACACCCCAGAGCCGAGGATGAGCAGGAGGATCGGGAAGACGTGAGACTCGACTCTTGGGGGCTCTACCTGGCCTGATGGGACCGTCAGAGACAAGGCGAGGCCGAGATCTGGAGTCTGACGTGAACTCCCGCCTCACGCATCGCACGACAGCTGGGCCGCCAAAATTCATGCAGGCACCGTCAGAAAAAAGCGTCGGCAGAGGAGGGAGGCGGGAGATCGGACGGAGCACCGCGCCCCGCGCAGCCTGCGGGCGCTCTTCCCGCGGCGCTGCGACGAGGCCTTTTCTCCCGCGGCGCCACTCCCCGGGGCGTTGCGGGACGTGGGCGATGGTATGATGGGATTGCCTCAGGATGCGCTCGAGGAGTTCTCGAGTATCTCAGGGCCCTCAGCCTTTCGGACTCGGCCGTTCGTCCCTGGCTCTTCGGGGCAATTCGAATGTCTGGAACGCTCGGAAGGCATCGTCATCATGACTTCCCGCTCCTCTGAGTCTGGTAGGGGGCCACTTTTATGCGGGGCCAGAGCAGGTGGGGTTGGAGGATCGCGCAGCTCCGACAGCCGATGCATGCGAGATGGACAAGTGGGCAGCGAGCCCGCGGGGAAGCGAGGAGGAGGAGGCCTCCTCAGAAGGCTGGGAAGTCCCCCGGCCTTCCCCGAAGACACAGACAACTTCCCTGGCCCAATTCGGGCGGCCTGGGATGTCGATGGCGCGTCGCACGCTGCTGACAAATGCCGCTGGCCTGCGCCCAGCAGAATTTCAGCGGGGACCGACCGCGCTGGTCGGCATGTTGGCCTAATGCAATTTGCTCTTGGAGGCACACAAGTGCACATCACCGATAACGACGCCGAATGTCGAGCATGCCAACGCTGTCAGAGCTAATCGTGTTTCAGCAATGGTCGTACAACCTGCAAGACAAGCAACAACACAACAACACTATGTTCATCTTGCTTGAACCCGTCATTCGCGGGTGGGTCTCCGTCACTTCGCAGCTACAACTATGGTCGTGACTGCTCTTCTTTGTTCGCAGCGCTGGCCGGCAGGGCCGACGGGCCGCGCTCGACACTGGGCGCGCACGAGCGGGTGGGAACGCGTAGAACAACCGCGGAGGAGCAGGGGTGGAGGAGGAGGAGGCCCAGCCATATGTTCGTCACTACTCGGCACCGACACAACTCCCCCCCCCTTTTTCCCATCCTTGCTCGTCAACGCCACCACTCCCACCTCCCCTCAATTTCGTTCCCATGCCGTCTTGGTCTGGGCAGGTAATGCTTAGGTCGGGCGTGTCCTCCTACAGGCATATTCTGGACGAGCAAGTAGAAACAATCAGGAATTATTCAAACAAACGTCAACAATACCATGAACATCGTCCCCCAAATATGTTACCCGGACTATTTTTGAATATTCCTCCTGTACAGGGACACGCCCGACTTACGGTGAAGCCCCCCAATCGGCCAAACCCACCTGGGTGCGGGTGGGTGCCATATGTTTCTGGTTGCTTCTCCGCACCCACGCCCACCACTGGGGGAAGGGCATGCTGGGAGAACCACCCATATTTTGTCCGGGGAGGGCGTGTGTGTGTGTGTGCTTATCATGGCATCATGGTGACGACCTCAGAGACCAACGCTAGCAATTGCAAGCTACAGTGGGGCTCGCGCGACACAATCAGGTCTGGCTACGTTTTAGGTGGCCCAAAGGGGGGTCCAGCTGAAAGGGGGTGGCGCAATGACTTGAAGCATCGTACGTCCCAAAATGTCCAGCACGCTCCAAATCGATTGCAACCCACAAATCTATTGCACCACCCACTTGTAGCTGTACCCCCTTTTGGGTCAACCAGACACGCTACGACCGCAGTCGGAGCCTCCAACAATGAGGCCTTCACTTGGCGCCACGGTGCCCTGACACGCTGGCGTCGTATATTTTTCCGCACCCATGAGCGTTTTCTTATTCGGCGTTTCGGCATTGGGCGGAAAAGGGGGGGGCCTGGTGCCGGACCTCTGCTTAGTGCGACTGTTTGGAACCGTGCGTTTTCCGGAAGAAACTCCACCTGCATGAAACAATCGCCAAAAACCAACCCGGATCTACTCCAGGAGGGGGGAGGGGCGGGTGCGAGGGCCCGCGCCGCTCGGCACTTCAATGAATAAGAAAACGATCGCCCTGGCGATCCTGTTTTACCCCGTGCCCTGGGACTCTCGCGGATGGATCCAGCCCTGAAAATGCACCAGAAAAAAACGTCCAGGGCCCAAGTCGTGTTTTCTACGACGTTGCATTTTTGCTTGCGACGTCGGAACTCTGCGTCGCCTCATGGGACATCCCCTCCACCCTGGTGAGGCTTCGGGCGGTGCTTTAACAGCCCGCCCAAGGTCCCAGCTGAGCTGGCCCGGCTTGCTTCAGCAGGCCCCCCAAGAAACCCAAGCAGGCCTCACCAAGCACCCCGAATAGTCCCGGGAGGCCTCAACATGTCAACCCTGTGGCGCGGAGCGCCACAAGGGCACCGCCGCAGAACGCGCCAGCGCGTTGCGACCGCCCCGAATTACCCAAACAAGTCTGCTGAGTCCATGTTGAGACCAGCCTGGAAGACCTGCCTAGATCATTGAATACCGTATATTCTGATCGCGACCGCTTGCGACCGAACGGCACCCCAAATCGGTCGCGACCAATCGCGACCGATCTCAAAATCGGTCGCGACCGGTCGCGAGAAACAATGTATTATTCTTGGGAAATGACACGCGTTACCCTGGAAAGTGGGCGGAAGGGTGGGGGATAACAGTAACAGCGGCCGCGGCGCGCTCTCTCAGAGGTGCACCGCCTGTGGCGGCGTCGTCGCCGTCCAAGCCCAGTGCCCGCGCACCCGACGCGGGCACATACACCGCAATGTTTTTGTGCACCAGTACTGCTACACAAATAATACGTGTGCGCACCACGGCGACTGCGTACGACGTAACAACCGTGTACACCACAGCACATTTGTGCGTCACACCGCTTGCGCATACCACGGCGCCTGCGCGCACCGCAGCTGATGTTTCAGCACCCCCTGGGCACCGCAGCGCCTGCGTACACCACGAACTTGCGCAAGCCTGAAGGCGCCGACGGAACCAAGATCCAGAAAATCGTCGGGGGCCTGGACGTATCTCAGTCAATATCTGGGTTGATTGTGTGTATTTGTTTTTTCTGGCCCAAGGAACGCTCTGATATGTTGGGCCCACAACGCCTGTGTACGCCATAGCGACTGCGTACGTCATGGCAACTTCGCGCACTACGACGTCCGTGAACCGCATGGCTTGGGGGATCGCGGACCAGCGTCTGCCGGGGGAATACACGCAGGAGAAGAAGAGGAGCAACAGCAACAACACGAGGAACAGGAGTAACAAAAACACGCGACGGGATCGACGGCTCGGGGCCCGCGCCTTTTTTCAGAGAGCGCTTCCAAGGTGCAACCCATCATCTAAGAGAAGCTCGCTGCAAGAATCTGTACACGAGGCCGCCAACTGACCTGCGTGATGCACCACGCACAGCCTGCGCCCACCTATATTATGATTATCCCTCCTCCTCCTCCTCCTCTGTCCTCCTCTTCCTCCTCCTCTTCTTCCTCCTCATCATCAATGACCGCGTCCTCTATGCGCATGGAGGACGACGACGAAAATGAGGAGGGATGAGGCAATAGGAAAAGATGCGTGGGCACATTATACCCCACAATGCACGCTTACATCATAGCGAGTTTGCGTAACGACCTTGCGCACTACAGCGATTGTGTACATCACGGCGCACGTGTACACCACAGGGCTTGAAATGTGTACCCACATGCCCGTGATACTAAAGCCCTAGGGATCATAACATCCGGGGTCTGGGGAATGATAAGCGTTTCTCCCGGCCGAGGATGATGGTGATGAAGATGGTGATGATGATGATGATGATGATGATGATAGTGATGATGATCATATGGATGATGATGATGATGATGATGATGATGATGATGATGATGATGATGATGATGATGATCCTTGGCGCTCGTGTAACTAGAGCCTGGCACAAAACTGTCCTTGGTGTCCTCGGGTCTCGCATCTAAAGGTGGCCTGCGCAAAGGAGGTCCTTGGCGCTCCTTGGTCTTGGCTCGTGACTTGCGAAAGCTGAAATGGTGAGACCTCCATTGCCATGCTCACTGTTGTTTTTATGATGATGCTAGTCAGCATAAGAATATAGCAATTTCGATTCGCAACTTCCCTCAGCGATAATCAAATTGGGCCTCGCCGCCCCTCTCCACAATCAAATCTCTCTGACCCGGGGATAGTAACCGTTGGGGGGGGCGGGGGTACTCCATATTATCCGGGAAACGGGGTTACACCACAATGCTTGCGTACACCCACTAATTATGCCTGTGCTGCTGCTGCTGCAACGACAGACGTGTGCGCCACAACGCCCTTGTACACCGCAGTGCCTGCGAACACCATAGTGCACGCCCGCGGGCACCGCGGCAGTAAAGGGCCTGCGTGCAGCACAGGCCTGAAGAAGCCCGGGATCGGGTACTGGACCGGGCCGTGGCGTTACCGTTACGGGGGGGGGAAGGGGGGCAGGAATGGGGGGTAACACGAGTTTTCCCTTGTGTGAACCAAAAAAGGTATCCGACCGATTTGTCGCGACAAATCGGTCGCGACCGATTCTAAAGCAAATCGTTCGCGACCAATACCGAAATTCAAAGCAAGCAAAATCGGTAGCGAGCGTTCTCATCGGTCACGAATGGACACTTCCAGTACCGAAATGGGCAGGGTGGGTGGGCTGTCTGTGCGCAATCCGACGCATGACCCCCAGCCCCCGACACCTCTCTACACAGCAGCAGCGGCCGACACCAAATGCACTAACCGCACCGAGTCCGCGGCCGAAGAAAACGATGTCCGGCTTGACGAGACCGTCGCCACAGCTGCGGGGCGGCCCCCAGGGGCTGTTCCCCTTGCTGCTGGTGAGCTTCCCCTCCTCGTTCTTCTCCTTGCAATCCTCGCTGGCTTCGTCGTCCTCGTCCTCCTCGTCCCTGCCGTTTTCCTCTGCTGCCTCGCCCGTCTCGCCTCTGACTTCCTTCTCCGCCTGCTCCTCCACTCCCTGTTCCTCCTCCTCCCCCTGTGCCTGCCTCCTCCTCCTCCTCTTCCTCTTCTTCCCTCTCCTTCTCTTCCTCCCCCTTCCTCCGCCTCTTCCTCCACCCTCCGTCCTCCTCCCGTCGTCTCATCCCCCCTCCTGGGAGGCGCCCGTTCTTCATTGTTCGCGCCACTCGGCGCGAGGCCGCTGGCTGCTAGTAACACTGAACCAAGTGGCCCCACGGCCCCACCAGCACAGACTCCTCCTCCTCCTCCTCCTCCTCGTCCTCCTCCTCTTCTCCTCTTCTCCTCCTCCTCCTCCCCCGCCTCCTCCTCCTCCTCCGCCTCCTCCTCCTCCTCCTCCTCCTCCTCCTCCTCCTCATAGTTCACCGTCTACCCGGAGCGGAACGCGGAAATGGGGCCTGGGAATAGGTCGCTGGCGACAGACAAACACAGAGGCGCGGCGAGGGCCCTCGCGCGCCTGGGGCACAAGACCGGCACGCGCTCGGCGAAGATCTCCTGCCCGCCGCCCGCCCGCTTCGGGCGGCAGCTCCCGTCTGCGGCCGCGACAGAGAGCTGTTACCATGTCGACTAGCTACCAAGCTGGATCCTTCTGGATTGAGCCAGCTTGGCCCGCATCGCATTGATGGCACGCCCAAGCCTCAGGCAACACGAAAAGGACGCGCTGGAGGTTTATGTTCGACCCCCTCGGGGTGTTTCCAAACGCGGGGGCCATCAATGAAATGTGCAGGGTGACGCAATGGTCTCAAAGGAAATCTTCGACTATTCGTGACAAGCTCAATTACGGCTCCTGCTGTCCCTCGACATGCCCTAGCCATCCCACGACCTATCTCCAGATGCTGTGGGAGATATGTATGTGTGTATATATACACATCTGTACGTGGTTTGACTCCGATGTGAATGCAACTATACGCCGATTCAGGTCGCGCTGTTCGGCCTCAATCTTATGAACCCATTACAGAACTGTCGTCACAGAACGAGGTAGCGATTGCAATGGCCATTCGGCGACCAGCGTCGGACAGAAGCGAACGCGCTGGGTACGGAGTACTAGTTTGGGAATATTCGCCGAGGAGACGACTATGCACGAGTGCCCTTGCGCACGTGATCCTTTTTCCTTATTTGGCACTTTGTGTGACTGCCAGGAGAAAGGAGAAGGGTGCGATCTGCAATAGACGGTACCGTAAGCTGGAGTAGTGCGTCTGGCGCAATATGTCGGGGCCATCCGCTGGGGCTTGCAGGGCGGCCTCCAGGGGCTTCCAGGGGGCCTCAGAAGATGGACCAAAAAAGGATCCCTAGGAGGGCCAAAAACACAAGGGAGAGGGGGTTTTGTCTGCCGATGTGTCAGACCACCCCGAATGATCATCCCTGATGCGAAGACGGGGACCTCAGTGAGGCCACGTCCTCATAGGCACCACGAGAAGCTTCTTGGTGCTCTGATAGCAAAAGCAATGTTCTTACAACATGGAGCCGATTCATTAACACACAACTGTTTCAGCCAGGAACGTTCCAAGAACATGTCCTGCAAAACATAACAGGTTCTTAGCACTGTATGGAAGCCAGGACGCCTCGCCACTGATTGATCCCTGGGAACCCCGCTCCGCTGCCTTTTCAAACATCGCTGGGCCGAACAGGCATGCACGTGAGTCCCAACTGGCGTGGAGTTCAGATGTCCTCCCGGGCCTCGCCACGACCCCCCCCTCCATGCAAGGACCCATCGGTCGGAAGAAGTAGGTAGAAACATGAAGTAGAAAAGCGTTGAAAGTAGCCTTGGAAGGACGGAAAAGGGGAAGCCACTCGGTCATTGTAGGAAGGCGCTTTTAAAGCAGATTGGAATCTGAGAATCCAAAAATACCAATACCTACTTTGAACGACCCATGGGCAACCTTGGCAGACAATGCAGCTGCCTCAAGGCTTCCAAGGGGCGCCTCCGAGAGGGCCTCCCGCATGAGTGCTCCGCAGGAGGGGGGGGCTCCGCAGGAGGGTTTCCAGGAGGCCTCCAGTACCGTACCCTCAGTGAAGGGACCCAGGAACACACAAAGCCAATGATTCCCCAGATGTTCATATTCTCTCAATTTTAGTCTTCCCCCCCACTCCCCATATTTTCCAATAGCTTCGTGAAAATCGGCATTGAATGGTGCCTCTGTGTTTTTTCCCCTCCTGACTCAGGTCCGACGTTGCTTACAAGTTGCAACACGTCGCCGAAAACCACGACCCGAGCCCTGGACCCCATCGGTACGCCCCATTTCTCGAGCCAGACGGATCTCGGAGGGTCCCAGAGCCCGAAACTGGGCGAACACGCCCGTTGTGAAAAAAGTGCAGCTCGGGCGTCGCTCATGAAGGGGCCCGGACACACACACACACACACACACACACACACACACACACACACACACACACACACACACACACACACACACACACACACACACACACACATAAATGCACACAAATAAAAAGATTCCCCAGATTGTCCCATATTGTCTAGGTTTTTGTCTTCCCCCCACTTACCATATTTTCCCATTTTCCGGGGAATCGACGATTAATTGTGTCTGTGTGTTTCTTTCCCTCCTGAGCTCAATGGGGGCACAATGCAAGGGGGGGGAGAAAGGTCAACCTTGCGGGCCCTAGAGGCCCCCTCTTGGGCCCTAAAGGGCCCCTTCAGCACAGCCCTCGCTGACCCCCATTGTTCTTGGGGAGACGTAAGACTCGGGTACGGGGAACTTAGATTGGCCTGACGGGGCCATCGGGAAAATTACGAAACCCCAAATGAAATTTGATGGGAACTTCCGCTGCAGGCACCCCACGAAAACTGGACAGTCAAAGTCCAATACGCGCTCGTAAAACAAAAACCCTAGGTGAACTCAAGTTCTAGAGCACATCTCCGTTACGAAAGTTTACTCATCTTGGTTAACATTGTCATGTTTGGGCGCTGACGTTTTCATATGTGGAGATATTCGCAGTTGCATGGAAGTGGCCGGGAGTGATTTTCCCCTTGTGAACGTATAGAGGGAGGGACTTGATCTTAATTGGGTGTATAGTGTTACGCGTACACCAGGGAGAACCCTTGGTAGTTCTCCTGCTCCGCCAGGCCGAAGGCCGTTGTGCTAGGAGTCTACGGGGGAAGGAGGGCGCCGCTCTGTGACACCCTGGTCGTCCATGCTCAAGATGAATCGACTACGTGAAGGGTGATTACTAGAGTCTTACGTTTCCCGATTATCGCCTCTCCATTACTAGAAGTTTCCTAGATGGGGTCCGAGTAGATGGGGTCGGAGGACCGCGCTGCATCGCCGAAACACCGACGATGCATCAGCGCTGCATCGGCGATGCACCCGCGATGCATCGGCGACGTCGGCGATTCAACGGCGACATCGGCGTGGAGAAATTCTGGCCCCACGTCGAGCCGCATCGCCGCATCGCTGATGCATCGCCGATGCATCGGCGATGCGGCTCGATGCTTCGACCCCATCGACTCTCCGACCCCATCTGGGAGGCCTAGAACTACGCGACGCCCAGGCAGCGCCAGGTTCCCAGGGGCCCCGTTGCCGAGGCGGCTCCGGGGGCCTCCGAAGGCGCGCGCCGCGCGCGCGCCGCGGGTGCGCTCCTGCCGCACCCAGTCGCTGGGCTGCGGGCGGCCGCAGGCGATGCACCGGGCCTCGGCCGCGCCGGCCAGGGGAGGGGGGAAGTACGGTGGGTTCGCGGTCGTCGACGTCGTCGTCGTCGTCGCCGTCGCCGTCGCCGTCGCCGTCGTCGTCGTCGTCAGCGTCTTGCAGGGTCGGCGGCACAGGCCATAAGGCCTTCACAGTCTCGAAGCGAATCCAGCGGTGGCGACGAGGGCCTCTTGGGAGACGCACCAGGGCGAGAACGAGGGGAGGTACGGCAAATTCGTGCGGCGTCGGCGCGCGCAAAAGTTTTTGACACCGCGTCGATCGTTCAACCTCGAATCGATCGCGGCCCCGATCGTTCCAGAATGAACCCCATCGCTTCCAGTGGCGTCACCGTGTCCCTCGGTGCTTCCGCATCGCAGAATTCGACCTTGAGCGCCTTCGCCGGCGTCGCAGTGAGCCTGCTAGAGGCGGGGTCCCAAACGACGAGCGACGAGAAGAGACGGGTCTTGCGCGGCATGGCACGGCAACCTCGGGCCGCAGCTCACGCGGGCCGCCCGCGCGGCACGCCGCGGTGGAAACGAGGCCGCTTGCGCGCAACCTCGCGCGGGCAGCTTGGGCGCCAGTGTCGGCGCAAATGAACCCTTTGGAGTCCCCAAACGGTGCGGTGACGGACCGTGCGGTGACCTCGAAATCCTCCAAGACCTCACCGCACGGTCCGTCACCGCACGGTCTTGGGACCCCGGAGGCCCCTGTCGCCCGAGACGTCCTCGGAGAACGACCCGAGTCCCAAAACCGTGCGGTGACCCCGAATCCCCACCGACTCACCGCACGGTGTGGTCACCACACCGTCTGGGGGCCCGCGAAACCCGTCTTTCTGTGCGAGGCTCCGCTGGAGTCGGACGATCGCCGGTGCCTCGGCAAAGCTCGAGCATCCTGCGACGCCCAGGAGCCTCGCGACTACGGCCCACGGGCGCACCTGGCCGGACGCCGCGGCCCCCCGCCCTGGACGCCTGGATCTCCCAGTGGGGCTCCGAGCGGACGGGGTCGGAGGATCGCGCCGCGTCGCCGAAACATCGGCGACGCATCGCCGATGCGTCGACGTCGGCGATGCATCGGCGCCGTCGGCGTGGGGACGAGGGGCAGCCTCGAGAGGGAGGCGGAGGCGGGCGAGCCCCACGGAGGGGCAGTACGAGGGGGGAGCGTCTCTCAAGGTTATAGAAGGAGGAGGAGGAGGAAGAGGAGGAGGAGGAGGAGGAGGAGGAGATCGAGAAGGAGGAGGAGGAGGAGGAGGAGGGAGGAGGAGAAGGAAAAGGAGGAGGGAGAAGGAGGAGGAGGAAGAGGCAGCTCCAGGGGGCTCTCCGCAAGAGCGGTCAAGGGATATTGGGCCCGAGTGCAGGGCCATGCATCGAAGCACAGCGAACACTTATCTTAAGGATGGGTGGTAAGGACGCGAGACCCTTGGAGGCCGAAGTTATTTTTTCGGGGCGACGGGCAACCAGTGAAAACGGCAAAAGACGGGCCGCAGTGGCAAGAACGCACTGGATTTGGCCGGTGTTTAGCGGCGGATATGCCAGCGCCGTTGCGGAAGTTACCCCCCCAGGAAGTGTATCCCAAGCAGGGGGAGAACATCGAGCTGGAATCGTCGAGTCATCGCGGACAAATCGGCGGTAGGCCCCCGATGGCCCATCCGCGCGCTCTGTCGACGATCAGTGGGCGAATGGAGGTCGATGCGTCGTCCTCTGAGCCTATGCCCTCTCTCTCTCTCTTTCTCTCTCTCTCTCTCTCTCTCTCTCTCGCTCTCTCTGAGGACGAAACCAGGACGATGATAATATCGGGTGGGGATAAATCGATAACCTCTGAGATGCGAAGGTACTGGAAGATGTCTCGGGCGCCGCGGCCTCCTCAGAGCGTCCAGGAACGCCCTGAGAGCGTCCTGAAACGCTCTGGAAGGGATCCATCCTCGTCCCAACCCCGTCCTATCCCTCCCTCCCCTCCCTAGAAAAAGAAAGGGGACCCAGCGCGGATCCACGAGATCCGCGCGGAGCGCCAAAACTTTATGGTTACGGCGTGCTTTCTTCTTCGACTCCCTCCCCCCTTCTTCCCCCCCATCGCCCAAAAGCGTGCGCGCGGGCCCGCCCTCGGCTTAAGGAGGGGGGCCGCCAGTTGGGGATGCCGGCGCGCGTGCTCGAGGCAGCGCCCTTTTCTACTCGAGGGCGTGGACCCCCCAACTCGACATCGCCCAGACGTCCACTCCACGTGCACGTGTAGTTCCACGTGTAGTTTGCACGTGTAGTTTTCTCCGCGCCGAGCCGCATCGATCCGATGCATCGGTGATGCTGCGCGATCCTCCGACTCCATGTAATCCTGAAGGGTCTTTTGACCACCCACCCTGTGGGGGGTAACTCATCATTTTTCGGCGGCCGTATTGAAGAACTGGGGCCCCAAGGTCCCACCAATAGGACGTAACTATTTTTGTGTCCACGGCGCCCGCTGCGCAACGACGACGACGCCAGCTACGACTACGATGCGGAGCGGGGGGAGGATGAGGATGATGAGCAGGGGGAGGAGGAGGGGAAGGGGGAGGAGGAGGGCAGGGAGGGGGAGGGGGCGAAGGAGGCGAAGGAGGTTTTAGGACCAGCCCTATCCACCGCCGAATGGACAGGGGGAGGTACGATCGGGGAGACGTAAGACCCGGGTACGGGGGACTCGGAAATCCCCGACGAGGTCGTCAAAAAAATGACGAGGCCGAGCCTGCATTTTGACGAGGCCTCCCGCTGCAGACATCCCACGAAACTCCTCCTCGTCAAAATCCGAGGCGCGGTCGTCAAAAAACTATGGCGAACCCGAGTCCTGGCAAACCCGGGTCTTACGATCCCCCGACAGGTAGGGGTACCTCTCCCTCCTCCGAACTTAAGGGCCCTTCCGAGGTTACAGCCAGGGCATTGGACGGCAGCTCCACTCGCGGGCCCCTCGGGGGGGGGGGGGGGGGGGCACCTCGACCCTCGCGCGCGGGCGCTCGCCCGTCCCGCGCCGGCAAGCCGTGCCGCCCCCGTCCGCGCGCGCCCCGGGCGCTCGCCCCGCCCGCGCCCGAGGAGCCCGCCGCCCCGGGGACAACCTCCAGGCCCAGTGCGCGCCATCTCGGGGATGGACAGACCTCCCTTTAGTAAAACGTGGTTTAGTGAAAACGACCTGAGGCCCAATCCTGGCGGGCGCAGGCCTGGAAAATGACGGCCACGGCGCCCTCACGAGAACCGAAAACGGATACTTCACTAATCGACGTGTCACTGTTGGGGGTTCTGTCCACCCCCGAACGACGAGGAACAGTGGGGAGCTAAACATCAACGCCCACCCTGCCTTACAGCGCCCAAGTACGCGTATATCTTCGGCAGGGGGCCCGCGGAGGGCCCCGAAAATGGTACCCCGACGTCGCACTTCCCATCGTCGGCAAGACTGGCAGGATGCACGTGGCCGAACAAGCCACGCGCGCGGGGCCGCGCAAGCCTGAAGCTTCCGTCCTGGAGCACGCGCAAGCAATCCGCGGCTTGCTGATGTGAGCCAGCCACGCGGCTCTCGCCGCAGGCACCGACGAGGCGACTCAGCGCCAGAGGGTTTTCGTCTCTAGAAGTACGCCAAACTTCGGCGCACCGGGTTTGGTGGGTGTATACGTCGTTTCTTGAAACACGTGGTTTGCTTTTGCTCGGGTGTATAAATTTCGGGGTAGGTGTATACTTCGTGTGGGCGGGTGTACATCATGTTTTTGGGTGGTTTTTGTATACACCCGCTGTCCCGCGGAAAAACGAAACGCCTCTGGACATACCGCGGATTCGCGAGGGCCGATCCCACCCGTGCAGACGAGTAGGAGCATCACCGATGCTGGCGGCGACCTGTATGGCCGCGTGCAGTCGGCGGGCTCGCTGGGCCCCCGCGAAGGCGGCCTCCGCGAAGCGTCGGCAACTCGTCCAAGACGTCCCATGCGACCCCCCGAAGTCGGCATATTTGGACCCCGAGGCAAATTTCGCGTCACGAGTAATGAAAATTGATTGGCATCTGGATTGCGGGGTCGGTGTCGTAATTTGCTCCCGCAAACAGAAGGAGGTGGAGGAGGAGGAAAAGGAGAAACAGGAGGAGGAGGAGGAGGAGCAGGCGGAGGAGGTGGGGACGCTGATGGTGGTGGGGACGATGATGACACGTGATGACCTTTCTCCCCGCCTCCGCCCCTCCCTCTTCGCTGCCCCCTGGAGCGCCGCAGATGGGGTACACATGAGCTTGCGGAGCTCCGCGCGGACTTTTTGGATTGGCGCGGGCCTCCACTCCCTGGCCCGCGGAGCATACCGTGGGTGGCGCCTCCAGCACTGCCATGGGGGGAGGGGGGACCAGCGCCGATCCAGGAAATCCGCGCGACGCTCCGATCAACTGTGTGCAAGTTTGTTACCTGCTTTTCTTCAATCTGCGGCACATGGGGCTGAGCCAACCTTTGAGCAATTGCCCTTTTCAAGCACTCCAATCCCATGCCAACATGTCCCCACGTCGTGCTTCCCGGTGGCACCCCAAATCGTTCGTCTGCACCCAGGCAGACTGATGCAGTACCGTGCTTCACGGGCTCTGCAGCAATCGCGTCTCCTCGGGTATGCGAAGGCCTCTCTTCGCCCATGAGATCCCGCGGCGCCGGGTTTCCTCACAGGGCAGAGCCTTGAGACTCCCAGCGTGCGTGGGCCTAGACGAGCCATCGAGGCAGACATTGGTAAAGGTGGTGTCGACTACTCCCCACTGGGAGATGTGCCCAGCTTTCGACAGCCAGAGCGCCTGGTTCGTGCTCTGGATGCCGTGGAAGGCCGTGCTGTCCTCCACTGTGTAGCAACAGTTGGCGGCGCGTGCATGCGGGTGGCGCCAGGGGAGTGGCCTTCCCAGAAAGGGCCCAAACCCCCAACGTCATTCCCAACCATCCTGTGGTGTTGGGTCCTCGTGTTAAAAAGACTTCCTCCTCTCCTCCTCTCCTCTCCTCTCCTCTCCTCTCCTCTCCTCTCCTCTCCTCTCCTCTCCTCTCCTCTCTCTCTCTCTCTCCTCTCTCCTCTCCTCTCCTCTCCTCTCCTCTCCCCTCCTCTCCTCTCCTCTCTCTCCTCTCCTCCCTCCTCCTCTCCTCCTCCTCCTCCTCCTCCTCCTCCTCCTCCTCCTCCTCTCTTCCTCCTCCTCCTCCCCCTCCTCCTCCTCCTCCTCCTCCTCCTCCTCCTCCTCCTTCTCCTCCTCCTCCTCCTCCTCCTCCTCCTCCTCCTCCTCCTCCTCCTCCTCCCCCTTCCCCTCCTCCCTCATCCCGTCACCCCCTCACTTTGGCACACCCCTCACACGTTTCGTGGCCCCAGAGGGGGCTTCACCGAAGGCCTCTACATGCGGTCCCCCCACCCAGTGCAGCGCTTCGTGGCCCCAAACGGAGCTCCACCGAAGGCCCCAGTGGGGGTGCCAGCATGCCGGCGCTTTACTCAGTGCAGCGTTTGGTGGCCCCATAGGAAGCTCCACCGAAGGCCCTAGGAGAGGTGCCTGCATGCGGCGCCCCACCCAGTGCAGCGCTTCGTGGAACCCTGAGGAGCTCCACCGAAGGTGCTGGTGAGGGTGCCCGCATACGGACCCCCCACCCAGTACAGCGCTTCGTGGCCCCATAGGGAGCACCACCAAATACCCTAGTAGGGGTGTCAGCACCTGGGCCCCCCACCCGGTGTAGCGCGTCGTGGCCCCATAGGGAGCTCCACCGACGGCCCCAATGAGGGCGCCCGCATGCGGTCCCCCCACCCAATGCAGGGTTTCGTGGCCCCGTAGGGAGCTCCACCGACGGCCCTAGTGGGGGTGCCCGCAGGCGTCGCTTCGTGGCCCCATACGGAGCTCCACCGAAGGCCCCAGTGCTACCGCCCGCTTGAGTTCCCCCCCACCCAGTGCAGCGCTTCGTGGCCCCATACTGAGCTCCACAGACGGCCCCAGTGCTACCGCCCGCATGCGCCCCCCTTACCCAGTACAGCGTTCCGTTGCCCCATAGGGAGCTACCGCCCGCATGCGCCCCCCCCCCATCCAGTGCAGCGCTTCGTGGCCCCATACGAGCCCCACCGAAGGCCCCAGAGCTACCGCCCGCATGCGTTCCCCCCCACCCAGTGCAGCGCTTCGTGGCCCCATAGGGAGCGCAGCCGAAGAAGATATCCCACCAGCCCTCTGGGCGTCGGTGGTTCAGGGCGTTTCCTCTTCCACCCTCATTCTTCCCCTTCGGCGAGGGGTTGACCCCTCCCCCTACCCCCTCCCCTGGACCTGGACGGGGGGGGGGTCGCGAGTCGTCGGAGCGTCCAAAACGGCCTCGGCGAGGAAGCCAAACTCAGTGGTTTTACAAGGGTTTTGGCCTCATGTTGGCCGCCTGGGGGGGGGACGCTAATTGAACACCCCCCTCCTGTGATCGATCTCCACCAAGATGGCCCCAAGAAGCGCCCAGGAGGCCTCAAGAGGTCCCAAGATGGCCCCGAGATGGCCCCAAGAGGCCCCCAGGAGGCCCCCAGGAGGCCCCCAAGAGACCCCCAAGAGGCCCCAAGAGACCCCCCAGAGGCACCCAAGATGCTCCAAGAGGCCTTGGCAAGAATGCCAAAACGGCCTCGGCGAGGAAGCCAAACTCATTGGTTTTACTATGGTGTTGGCCCACTTTTGGCCTCCTGGGGGGGACGCTAATGAATGCTCCCCTCTTGTTTGATCGATCTCCTCCAAGATGGCCCCAAGAAGCGCCCAGGAGGCCCCTAGAGGTCCCAATATGGCCCCAAGGTGGCCCCAAGAGGCCCCCAAGAGGCCCCCAGGAGGCCCCCGAGAGACCCCCAAGAAGCCCCAAGAGATCCCCCAGAGGCACCCAAGATGCTCCAAGAGGCCTTGGCGAGAATGCCAAGTCATTGATGTTACGCAGGTTTTAGCCACATGTTGGCCTCTTGGGGGGGGGCACTGATTAAGATCAAGAGCACCTGGGAGAGCCCAAAATGACCTCCAAGATGGCTCCAGACATTCCCAGGGTGTCTCATAATGGCTTCCTCTGTGTGCTGCCCACTTCCCTGATCGAGGCAATTCCTCTGGGCATCGTTTCTGGATGGGCTGGTGGGGATTCGCGAAGCGTCAACAATTCACAATTGCGGTACTCACAACTGAATATGTTTGGGTCCTTGCCCAGGATAATGTTTTTTTCATGTGCGTCGACCCCCGAGGTCTCGATCCAGTCCCCAGGACCAGTGTTTCTTTCCAAGTCGATGTTTGACGGTCCCGAAACCCGGTAAGGGCCCCCCAAAACCGAAAATGATGAAAAACCTTCCGTCATGATTTGTTTCATTACTCGAGGGGGTCTGGAGGGGTGGCTTCTGAGAAAGAACTGCTTAGAAGGCTTAGAAGTCTCCGGGCGCTTCCACGAAGGCCCCCGCCTCCTAAGCAGCCGCCGTGCCGTCCTGGAGGGCCTCCGACCTGGCGCGACCCCCTCTGCGTGCGCCGCCGGGATGGTACAGCACGGGGCCTCGCCCGCCGTTAATGTCAAGGCACTGGCCAGCATGCGCGACGGAGGCAAAGCCAATCTGCTCATTGGCCTGCCAATGGGGGTCAGACTTCTTGGGGTCAGAGCCACTGAAGGGCAAACTAGAGAAACATATAAATCCCGTAAAGATGCAGGCACTGGCGAAGAATGCCCAAAGGAAGTCCCCGGGAAAGCCCAAGAAACAAATCATGCTCTGAAGCAAAATCGGCCCCGAACGAACATCCCAAGAATGGAGCCCACCTTTGGACGCCCGAATTATCCGGGATGACTGCGGTCTGGGGCCCTCTGGGGAAACTCTGGTCTGGGCCCCCGAGGCGCGAATCTGTAGTTACACCTGACCGCCCCAAAGCCCTGATGATTCGGGGGTTCTGATACCCCCAAAAGCATCCATGAGCAGGCCAAAGGAGGAGGAGGAGGAGTAGGAGGAGAAGGAGGAGAAGGAGGAGGAGGAGACGGGGAGGAATAGACGAGGAGGAGGAGGAGGAGGAGGAGCAGGAGGAAGAGATGAAGAGGAGGAGGAGACGAGGAGGAGCAGGAGGAGGAGGAGGAGGACGAGGAGGAGGACGAGGAGGGAGGAGGGAGGGAGGACCCCCCAAAAGGCTGGCACCCCCATGAGCAGGCCAACGATCTGCTCCGAGGGCTTCAACCACCGCCACCGCTGCGCACGATCTCCCGCACTGCACGCGAGCATGGCCGGCGTTACCGCGGGCTCGCTGGAGCCGGGCAGGCTGGAGCTCAGGCAGCGCCCCCCCTCCAGGGAGAGGGAGAACTCCGCCGGCGAACCCTCGACGTTCGGGCGTTGCTGGGAGTGCCCCTGGCCTAAGGTGCCCCCAGGAATTCCAATGAGGCCCCCCGCGACCTCCAGAGCACCCCTCACGAGGCCGTGAGGGCCCCAGAGGCTCCAAAATTGAGCCAAAAGCTGCGGGCACCTTGGGCCAGGGGCAACTTTAGCAACCCCCGAGACGTGGCGCAGCTCGAAGCGCTGCGCTGGCACCGCCAGGCCCTCGGAGTCACTCTGGCAGGAGCCCCACTGCACAAGCGAGGCCTCTTCGGCTGGCCGGCCCAGCGAGACGGTAGAGGAACAGAAAACGACATAAACATAAACTTTTGGCGCTCCGCGCGGATTTCTTCTATCCGCGCTGGGTCTTCCGGCGCCGCCTCCGGCGCCGCCACTGGCGCGCTCCGCGCACCAAGGAGGGGGGGCAAGCGCGGATCCAATAAATCCGCGTGGAGCGACAAACAGTCATGTTAATGTTGCCTTTTGTTCTTCGAGACGGGCTCTGGCGCAAGACACACGCCGCCATTCTGCAGCTGGCCGTCGTTCGTCAACACCCAATGCTGGCTCTCTGGTGATGGCGCCCAGAACGAGCACATCCAAGGACCCGGGTCCCCATTCCTCTCGGCGGCGAGCCCAGGGGGGGGAATGAGAAGGTGCGTGTCCTCTCAGACGGCTCGGAACCCCCCTGGCATTCTGAGAAGTGTTCTGAGGACACGGAACACTTCTCAGAAGGCGCGAGGGCTTCTCAGAAGCTCCCCCGCCTTCTGAGAAGCCCTCGCGTTCTCATTTTCCCCTCGCTCGCCGCCGATCCTCGAGTCTAGGCAGTAGGAAGCCGATCCTGCCACGAAGTTCCAGGGCCCATACGAGGTGCAGCAGGTGAGCTTCCCGGCTCCGTCCAGGGCCGCGTTCTTCGGCACGAAGAGCTGCCCAGAGCTGTCCGATCCGGTGCAAGGGGCCATCCCCCAAGTGTTCACGTCCCACTCCTGCAAGCAAAGCCCCGTGCTTTTCTCATGGAAAGAGAAGACCTCCCTTGGAAGAAGGCCCATGATCTCGAGCGGCACTCGCATGCGCTGCAGGAACACCCCGAAGTCTGCGCACCCGAGCCTTCGCTGCACCTCCTTGATGCCTGACAGATCTCCAACCTGGCGCTGACCTGTGAGGAACTCCACGAACTTTGGCCTGGACAGGCCCTTCGACTTCCAGCTGCCGAACCATGCGGTCATGATCCTGGCCTGGTTGAGCGTCATGTCTGGCCTTTCGTGATGCAGCGTGCCGTGCTGCGAATGGCAAAAGCCCACGACGCTGTCGTATACTGGCACGAACTCTCCTCCGCAGAGCAACACCCGCAAGGACATCTCAATGTTCTCGGTGAAGAGCGTCGAAGAGCCAACCTGCAGGCGGTCGTACCCTCCAGACTCTTTCCACCAACTACTGCTGAAGACTGGCACGTTGCCCTGGTCAACCGGGAATGACCAATTGACGTCCTTCTGGGCAAAGCAAGGGTACCAATACTGCTACTCCCCGGACCTCTCCAGGGGTGCGTTTTGACCAGAACTTCGAGGCGAATCCAGCAAGGGCGACGAAGGCCTCCCCCGAGGCCCTACAAGACAAAAACGAGGCAAAAGGTAGCGGTATCAGTACGTCTTCCTCACTTAGCGGAACAAAAAGCAGCGTAAACATAAACTTTCAACGGTCCGCGCGGGATTCTTGAACCCGCGCCAAAGACCCTTCCCTGGCGCGCGGAGCGCGCCAAGGGTGGCGCCGGAGGCGCCGCGAGGAAGGCCCATGCGTCGATCCAAGAAATCCGCGCGGAGCGTCGACAGTTTATGTTTAGACTGCTTTTTCTTCTCCGATCCTCTGACCTTCGGGGGGAAGTAGAGCTGTATCGATTCCGCCTCCCAGGTGATGACGTTGTCGAAGTGGGTCTTCGTGCCCCCCCGCGGCCCGATGAGCTCCCACGCCTCCTTGTCTATGTCGTGGAGCGCGGGCAGCGCAACGGCGCGCGGCCTGTCGCGCAGCAGCCGCAGCACGGGCTCCGCCCACCCCTTCGTAGGCTTGACGTAGCAGTCGAAGAAGGCGATCGCCTCGCCAGCCGCGGCGTCGCCACCTCGACCACGCGCCGCGGTGGCCGACGTCGGGCGGTCGTTCCGCAGCCACCGGAGCCTCGGCCGCCTGGCGGCTCGCCGCGGGCTGTCCAGGTGCTCCCAGTCGAGGCCCGCCAGCTGAGGCTTCCGCACGGGCGGCTCTGTCCCGTCGTCAACGACGATCACCTCGGCCAACACCTCCCCCGTCGCCTCGACGATGGCCTCAACGCTCCGCTTGAGGTACACCCCGTCCGGACCGCAGGCCTTCGGCGCAAGCCTGCCCCCTGGAATCATGATGACGGCGGAGAGCCCCCTCTCCGACGATGCCGCCACGCCAGCCGCCAGCGCGGCGGTGCCGGCATCCACCGCAAGGTGCGCGTGCTTCTGTGCGGTGTGCAGTTCGGAGCTCCGGGGCGCCAGGAACAGCGACAGGAGCGCGAGCGCGAGCACGAGCGGCACGAGCACGCAGCGCACCGCGCACGAGTCCAGCAAGCCGTGCTGGCGGCGGCGCTTGGCCGCCATGGTACGGCTCCTCACGGCGGTCGCCGAGCCATTGACTTGGCGGAGCCTCTTGACAGTCGGAGGCGCATACGAGGACAGCGCGAGCGCAGGCACACGGCGCGGGCAAAACTCTCACACATCGGCAGCAGGGCGCGAAGCGGCGAGCCGCCGGGCGCACGCCCGCAAGCCGCCCAGGTTCGAGATCCGCCACTTTGCCAAAAGGCCCGTCGAGGCGTGTCAAACTGCCAGGATGCCTGTTGGCAGCCTGTGTTTCTACACAATGAACTTAACTTGTGTTCGTTGCTCCCCAGCCTGGGTTGCTTGGACGCGCGCGCGGACTGGCTCTGCCGCGCTGCGACGCGAAAACGTGTTCTTTGCTCCTCCGTGCGCTGCTCAGCCCAAGACGGTTATCAAAATCTGCCAGAACCCATGGGAAAACCAAAAATCGCCCCGAGGAACAAGAACTCCAGAAGAGTCCCGGGAGGCCAAAACTGCTGAAAGCGCATCGGGTTTGCACGTACATGTCGCTCCCCACCCCTCCTCACGCGTGATGTGGATACGGAAGATCTTCGAGGGGCCCGCACACAACTCCCAATAAATCAAATCCCAAACATAAACAAATATTGCCACGGAAGGGCCGCACTAGCCGGGAACCTAACACAAGCATGAACACACACGTTCGGAGGCCGGCGCAGATCTCTTGGACCTGTGCTGGACCCCCTTCCTGGCCTGGCGCGAAGAGCGCCAGGGGCAGCGCCGGAGGCGCCGCAAGGGGGGGGAACGCCGATGCACGAAATCCACGCGGAACGCCGAGAAATTATACATTTGTGGAATGTTGTATTCTTCGAGGCACGGCAGTGGAAGATTGCGCCGGAAGGGCCGCAGTATGGCGCACCCACTCCCCCCGAGAAGGTCGCGCGCCGCCTCAAGAGGGCCCAAGTCCGCTGAAGCAGTCCGAGCAGCTCGTCGGAGCAATCGTTCCCAGGGTGGTCAGCCTGGGGTCCAACAGGGACACCCTCGCAGAGCCAGGAGTGCACGGGAGGCTCGTGTCGTGTCGACACTGGCGTTGGTTTCTGACATCGCGTGGATCGCCTAACCTTGAACGATTGGCGGCTTTTTCGAATGCTGGATTGTTCCCTACAGAGAAGGCCAGTCTACAACAAACCTTCCACAAAAAGCCAACCCTGAAACCCCACGACGCCCACCGATTTGTGGTGTGGGAACGTCACGCTTTCCATCGCAAAACCATCGAAACCCAAGAAACCCAGAGCACCCTGGAGGCAAGCAGGGTGTTTCTTGGGATGGGTTTCCACTATATGTGCTGGTTCTGGGCCAACTGTGGCGCTCCAGCTCGCACGCACGCGCCTTGGTTGCCGCCGCGCCGACACAACACGAACACCTACCGTGCCTCGTGGGCGAACCACATGTCCGTATCCGCGGCCTCGCGGGCTGGGCCCCTGGGCCTCGTCCCCGCGGATCCGATGCGATGTTTTAATGACTACATACCAGGCCACCCCAAAGACCAGAACTTCGGGTTGGGGGGGGTACGCGTTCTTCCCCGACCCCCCGCCACTGGAAATGAAAGAAAAATCGTGGCCTTCGGGCTGGGTTGGGGTGGGCAGTAATTTTAGCGAATGCCCCACGCGCAACGTATCCGTGCGACCGCATATCCGCGGGAGCGCGCCTCGGAATCGGGACCGCGAGGGCGCGGATACGGATGTGCTCGCCGCTCATTGAGTGCCGAACATCTCTGAGGGGGGTCGGCAATACCATGCTGCCAGCTTCTCGATGCTGCGCCGGAGTGCTGGCAGGGGGCGGAGGCCAGCCTCGAGGACGCTGGACGTCTCGAGCCCAGGCACGGCGGCGGACCATGCTGCCAAGTGCGGTGTTGAGGTGCCGCTGCACGCGAAGGCAACTCCACAAGCAGAATCAGAAAGGAAACAATGCTGATTCTTGCAGTGCTTGGGGCAACATGCCCGCCAACTCTCCATGCACGGCCTGCTGGATCTGTCAACCTCGCAAGCTCGAAAAGGAGATCGAAAATGACACCCTCGCCGCTTGTGGAAAGGCGCCCAACCGTGAATTCGAGCGATACGAGGGCAGGATGGAGAGAGGAGGATGACACAAACGAAGAAGAGGGCAGTGAGTGCGGGGGGTGGGGGGTGGCGTTCGGGGCTGGGGGCAGGGCGTTCGGGGGGGAGTCATGCATTCCTCACTCCTTCTCTCATTCCTTCTGCATGACGACGACTCTCTTACCTCAGACGATGAACATGAAAAGGAAGTGCTGGCAACGATGACACAGGCGGCCGCGGCCATGTTCATCATCTTCAGAGACGAGCGGCATGTGCAACTGCAAGCAAAGACGCTCACGACATTCGGCAACTCCCTGCCGTTGGCGCGCAGGCTCGGCAACCTGCTTGGAACCATGGCGGGCACCGTCATTAACTCGGCTGTGGTTTTGGGGCCCGATCTGGCGCAAAGACAAATGCGTTCGACCATACATGAATTACGGAAACGAAAACAAATATTCCCATACATGAAACAACAACATCGGCTTTTGAGAAGGTACCGTGAAAGCCTCCCACGTCAGAAGGGCCGCATCGGTAAGAATAGTGTCGCGTGTGTGGCCCCTTGCTGCAACCTTCCAGTCGGCGGTGGTGGGCATGAGTGATCAAGAGATGTCGCCAGGGCACCTCAAGACACCGCGAAAGAGTTCTTGCGGAGCTCACCTCTTCGCTCGAGAGATCCAGGGTCTAACTCAACCCGTTGGTTAAGCTTCTTGGCCCCCGTTCCAAACAACTCTCTCCCAGGGAAAAATGTATGGCGATCACATGTGTTTGTGGAGGCGTCTGGACGAGACGCAGCGCTAGGGCTGCAAGCTACGGGAGCGACGGAAAGTGCCCGCTATGCGCCAGACCCAACAGTGTCAGGCATCGAGTTTGGACATGCGGTTACCAAGAAGCTGTCCAGGCTCGAAGGGACGCTGCTGGAGATCACCCAGAGTGGCTCGCGGAGGCCAACGAGAGTGAGGATCGCTTCTTCTGGGACGAGCTCAAGTGGAAACACGCTGGGTCAAAAATGGCCTTCGTCAATGACAGCCCCAACCCCGTTTTGTAGAGCCCCGGTGGGGCTAAGATTCCTTGGGATCCCCTGGAGTCGCCGAGGTCTTGACGATTATATGGGCGGTTCTTGTATACGCCACACCATCAAGGATTTCTCTGGACCAGGTTATGCGCTAGATGATGCAGATCATACCGCTGCCCACGCTTTGCAAACGAACTGTATGGCTCGTGCTGAAGCAAGCTCCGCAAGCAGCGGTGAACCAGGCGATGGCCATCCCACCGCGGAGACGGGAGTCAGCAGGGCTCGAACTAAACCATGTTGTTCGTTTCCGGTCTGTGGGTGCAGTCCTTCTTGCTGTCTTCGTTCTGCCTTTGCTGAGAAAAACTAAATCGAGATGAAGACGGTCTACGACATCGCCCAAACACTGTGTAGCTCGAGCCCTGGGTATTACGATGGTGCCACAATCACCAAAACGTGATAACACGTCTGCTCAACATCAAGTGTGTAGGAAGCACCGCTATGAGCGAATGTGTCGGGGGGCTCTGCTGCATGAGACAGACCATGTATTTCAGATTTGTCACCCCCCTGCCAAGATGCCTCGAGACATCCTTGATTGCCTCCCTGGGGCTGACCGCAACGATCAGTATGGTTAATTCCGCGCGGACTGCTTAGTTAGCCAACTTAGCCCTCCTTCACAATCCTCAACCAACTGCAGCGAGCTGGCATGACGTCAGCGAGCATCTGGATCAGCTTGTGCGGCCAGCGTGGCGGTAAAGGGTTTGTGCGGCTTCATACCGAGGACTTTGATAGACATCAGCTCGGACCTAGGTTTGAGCTATGCATGTCAGGAGGCTGGCACCACTGCGACGCCCTGGAGGGTGCTCTTTGTAGCGAGGCCCTGGCACTCGCCCCATGCTAGGCTGCAAGGGTCCCCGTGGCGACGCGTGCTCGGATTCAGTAAAGGTCACACGCTTGCGCACGCGGTGGGTTCACGCCGGGACAGAGACATCAATCTCTGCGCGTGCACCACACGTGGTGCGTACACCTCGAGACGCTGCCCTCGAATCGGACAGGAGTGCTGTGGCAAGAAGCTGCCAGGGGCCAAGACCACTCTGACCCGTCGTTCGGATGGTTCCCATCCCGACTACAGCAACGAGGATGAGCGCGTCCGGCAGACCTGAAGGACAGGTGCTAACTATCTTCACTGCTCCGCAACCGCCCATCCTCCCACCGAAGCTACAACGCCAACGCAGGGTCTGGAGGGTTTGGTGCAGACGCCTGGGATGCTTGTATTGCTGTCCCGCATCCAGGCGGGAGAGGCCGCTCGCCAGAGCGCGGCCCCCCAGATCAGGCTCAACTGTTGGCCTCGTCGGTCCTGACCACTGGCTCGCAGAGGAAAAACTAGTCCTTCTGCCTTCCCACGTGCGGCTATCGTCGCCTCCTGCATCCTTCAAGCTTGCCCCTTCCGCCTATCCTCAACCTCCTCCATCCTCAACTCTCCTCCACCGTCCTCCTCCTCATCGCCCTCACCCCAGACCTCCTTGTTCTCCATATCATCCTCGCCCTCCTCCTCCTCCTCCTCCTCAGGCCCGTCCTCATCCGCCCCTCATTCCCTCTCTCCTTCCGTCCCTCCTTCCTTCCTGGCGCCCTTCCTTCCTCGTCTCTGGCCCAAAGAGAACCGCCCTCACCGCAACGATCCGTTACACAACGGCTCCCCCCCCTCCCTCCGC